CAAGCCACGAATAGTTGTAATTCTGGAAAGTGGTTTGATGCTGTGAAAGAAGAATTAAAATCCAGGAACGACAATAATGTCTGGGACTTAGAAGATTTACCGGAAGGTGCAAAGAAAGTCGATTGTAAATGGGTTTTTAAGACCAAGCTTGACTCACGTGGTAATATCGAAAGGTATAAAGCCCGACTTGTTGCCAAAGGTTATACTCAAAAGGAAGGCACAGACTATAAAGAGACTTTCTCTCCAGTTTCTAAGAAAGACTCTTTGAGAATTATATTGGCTTTAGTTGCTCATTATGATTTAGAGCTTCTTCAAATGGATGTTAAAACCGCTTTTTTGAATGGTGATCTAGAGGAACAAGTATATATGGATCAGCCTGAAGGATTTATACCCACGGGAAAAGAAACTTTAGTGTGTAAGCTGAGAAAATCAATTTATGGACTAAAACAAGCTTCCCGACAATGGTATCTTAAATTTAATAATACCATTACATCTTAAGGTTTCGTAGAAAATATCATTGATCGATGTATCTACATGAAAGTTAGTGGGAGTAAGTATGCGATTTTAGTCTTATACGTTGATGATATTTTACTTGCTGCAAATGACATGGGAATTTTACATGATGTAAAAGTGTTTCTTTCTAAGAATTTTGATATGAAAGATATGGGTGATGCATTCTATGTGATGGGAATAGAAATATTCCGAAATAGATCTCAAGGATTGTTAGGATTGTCTCAGAAATGTTACGTCAACAAAATCTTAGAAAGATTCAGAATGGATAAATGCTCTGTAGGAAAGGTTCCAATTCAGAAAGGGGACAAGTTCAGTAATTTACAATGATCAAAAAATGAATTAGAACGAAAGAAAATGGAAAGTATTCCTTATGCTTCAGTAGTTGGGAGTTTAATGTATGCTCAAACGTGTACTCGACCAGATTTCAGCTTTGCTGTTGGAATGTTAGGTCGGTATCAGGGTAATCCCGGAATGAATCACTGGAAAGCTGCAAAGAAAGTTCTAAGGTACTTGCAAGGCACCAAAGAATATATGCTCATATACAAAAGATCAAATAATCTGGAAGTCATTGGTTATTCAGATTCAGATTATGTTGGATGTGTTGATACCAGAATATCGACTTTTGGATATTTGTTTCTACTTGCCGGAGGAGCACTATCATGGAGGAGTGGAAAGCAGTCTGTCATCGCTGCTTCCACCATGAAAGCTGAGTTTATAGCATGTTTTGAAGCTACCGTTCACAGTTTATGGATGCGGAACTTTATCTCAGGGCTTAGGATTGTCGACACTATAGCTAGGCCGCCGAGAATTTACTGTGATAATTCCGCAACTATCTTCTTCTCGAAAAATGATAAGTACTCAAAATGTGCTAAGCATATGGAGATAAAATACTTATCTGTCAAAGAAGAAGTGCAGAAACAAAGAGTATCATTTGAGCATATTAGTACTGATTTTATGATAGCGGACCCATTAACTAAGGGATTACCACCTAAGAGTTATAAGGCTCATGTTGATCGTATGAGCATTATAGATAAGTCATTATTGTAATTTAAATAATTGCTCATTATATATATATGATATTTTGAATTCAATAAAAGTCTTGTTTCTGTTATTGAAAGTCATATTATCATTAAATTATTTGTGTACACATGAAGTTGATGGAGATAATATGCATTATTGTTTTACAGTTATTCCTGGCCATAAAAGATGTTTTGGATGACAAACGATTGTGATACTTGGAATGAATCATATTCAAATAAAATGATGTGTGACCACCAAGATTCGATTGTTTGTTGTTCCAATAAAAGTTATCAGTGATAGATTAATACAATATAAAATTACGCGTTTTAAAGATTGTAGATCATCAAATCATCACATGGACCAAGTGGGAGAATGTTGGAAATATAAACATTAAAATGGTCCATGAAATTTTGGGTTTGGACTTCATATTAGTTTGAACTCATTGATAGATATGAGTTAATCAAGTTTGAAAGTCCATTGGTATTCATGGTAATCCATCTCTCCTTACCCTATAAATATAGGATCTTGATTCACATTTTTCATCTATCAAAAAAATTATCAAAGTAAGGGTGAAAGGAGAGAAAAACTGATTTACCCACTTGTTTTTCAAAGTCATTCCGCTGCAATATTGATTCAGGTATATTTTATATATGATATATACTATCTTATTAAGTTTGTGTGAATTATGTAATACTTTATCCAGTTTTGGTGAGTTTTCATAAAGTTATCGAAAACCATCATAATAAAATTTATATTCTATTATGCATATACTTTACATATGAAAAAAAGTAAATCAATATTTAGTATATATCTATCAAATGTCCCTAACAAAAATACATGCTTTCTTTAAGTAAGAAAATACGCGCGTGTGGAAGAAATATGGCCACGACATAGACCATAATATATATATATATATATATATCCACGTGTTATAATGATTGTATATATATGAAAGCTCGAAACTGTTCGGCACCATAAAAAATAGAGATAAGAGAAAAATCAAGTTGTCCAATAACGTATATATAATTTTGTTAAAGGTTGTATGTTTTTTAACAAAAATATATACTGTTATTGGACAAAAATATATATACGTATATACATTGTTGGAATTTAATCCTTTAAACATAATCTTCAATACCCAAATCGTTCAACATATAATATAAATTACTGAATCGGTATATAAAAATATCCACCGTTGATTAATCGTTGTTATAGAGGCGGTATGAATTGATAAGAAGGTTTTGAAACCTTCTAAACCTTTAGCAATTTTCACGTAGATGGTATATGTGAATGAATAATTGTTAGGTTTAGAGATTCATTTACCGTTTTTCTCAATCAGTAAAAAACGATCTTAAGGTGAAATCAAAAGATTTAGTATTATCACAATCTTGACACCCACAAAAAAAATATTGAACCGCTTATATATATAGAAGTTTAATTGATTTTTAACTCTATAAAAATCAAACTTCCAAGATATATATTTATCATCAAATTTATACAAATATAAGAATATCTATTAATCTTCTTTGTGACTATAATATTGATATGACTTTCGCAGATTCGAGAATATTTTGGAACGTAAGACTTAGAGATTTCATTATCTACTAAAACTAAAAAAATTCTATGGATTATTCTATTCCTTAAACAACCTCGGTTTGCTTATCTTAAACCAATATCATTCTATAATGGGTGTCTTGATTTTATATTTTCATTAAGTTGGTTCATATTCATAATTAAAGAAGATTGATTAGTAATGTGGTTAAATGAACATGAATGAGATATAAAATATGGTTTATAATCCATGAATTTTTCTAATGACTTTAGGAACTATGTTTTTCTACGCGTGCTTGAAAACCAATGATTTCATTGTGTTGTCTATACACTTTATATTATATATATATATATATTATGTATATATATTATCTCAAAATGTCACATGCACAGTTCACATGTTTTTTTTTTTGTTGGCTTGCATAGTAGTGGAGAACATTGACATTTTTCTTTTTCTTTTTCTTTTTTTTTACAAGAAAAATGTCTCAAAGCTTACGTATTTGATGTGATGACATTCAAATGGCACTCGTTTAAGTTTTATCTCAAAGACAAGGCAAACTTCACGACATACTCTTTTGGGCCGAAATGGGCTATCCACTAGGCCCAACAATGTAACAATCATCATTTGGTCACATCTATAATCGCCTCAGCATCTGCATATGTTACATCCGCATTATATCAAAACTACTTCAACATATACATTTTTCACCTATGATCTTCTTATTTATATGACAAAAAATATAGTATGATCACATATTTATCCCATAACCGGTTTTCTATCTTAAACCCGGTTCGTTAAATCCGATTTATCAAAGAACCGAAAATTACATACGCGGCACCAATTTTCTGAGTTGGTTCGACACGTCACGCGCCACATCGGATAAATCAACACGATTTTTTGACCAATTGAAGCTAAGGACCGTTATGAAACCGTTTAATAAGTTCAGTAATTACCATGGTCAATTTTGCAAGTTCGGAAATTAATAGGTACCTCTATAAGTCAGGAATTTATATTACATCAAATTACAAGTTTAGAAATTTTGAGGGTTTTTTTTTCCTAAATTTAACATTACAACCAATGAGACCAATATATGACCAGACTATATTTCTGGTCATATGGATCACAGGTAGTGAAGGGTACGTGGTGAAATCAAAATAACAAGGGGAATGTATTTTTGATAATGCTCAAGTCATCTTTATAAATAAATTTGTAAAAAAAGTGTCCGTAAATTATTGGTATTGGTAAGTATCATCAAGCGTATTATTACGGTTTAGAGTAATATTTTTATGCCAAACCATTTGGAGAAAATCCCATAAAAATATCCAAATTTTATAAAAATATGTCAAAAAATACCTCAACTTTTAATTTAACAAATAAATATATCAAATGTGAATATATATATATATATATATAATATTTCAACTTTTAAAATAAAAAATCAAAACTTATAAAAAAATAAAAAGCAATTTCATATATAGTTTTTAAATACACCATCGATAATTATACACAAATTGTTTAAAAGTATTTCATACGCAAATTTTAACGAACCTTGACAGTTTTTATTCGAAAGAAATTTTATATTCGGGTATTAACGACGTCGTCAATACGTAGAAAATTGTTTTCAATATGGAATCATCTTTAAAATAATAATTACCCACTAATTTTCCGTTGTTAATCACTCTGCCATTATTTATATGAAAATGGGAATTGTTTTGCCTCCTAATTCGATGCCACAAGTCTTTGTCTGTAGTACGTAATAAGGTAATTCACGTTATCTCTCTTTGTTGATGCGGAGATATTAATCAAATGCGACAATTGTCCGTACATATGTTAATCACAAAAAAAAAACGTGATTATTACGCCAACGTATCTTTTCGTTCCACCTTATATTACACTTGGAGATGATAATAATCATAATACATATATTTGAAAAGGAAATTACAATTTGACAGTTTTACGATCTAAGAGCGCAAAATTAGCGATAATATTTAATATTTATATTCTTATTTGGAATATCTAGACATGTTACTCCCGAGAGTTATTTTCCCGAAAATGGGTGAGAAATAGTTTTAAAAATCATATATATTTTTCGCTTTATTGTCCTGTGAATTGAGAAAAAATCTTCATGTGGAGGCCCATGTCGAACCCATTGTAAGCAAGAGGAGCATACATCCACATATCGTTTGAGCTCAAGAGCTGCAGAAAATCCGTTCACATTTTCAGGAATTAGCACAAGAACAAAACTTTATTATAATATATATATATATATATGTATGTCCACGTGCTGATATGTATGTATGTATGTATGCATGTATGTGTGTATGTATGTATGTATGCATGTATGTGTGTATGTGTGTATGTGTGTATGTATGTATGTGTGTGTGTATGTATGTATGTATGTATGTATGTATGTATGTATGATGTATGTGTGTATGTGTGTATGTGTGTATGTATGTATGTGTGTGTGTATGTATGTATGTATGTATGTATGTATGTATGTATGTATGTATGTATGTATGTATGTATGTATGTATGTACCTTAATCTGAAGCTGCAAGAACTTGACGTAATGGACAGCTTCTTCGAGCATTGTGCTGATATCTACTTTGGTTCCGTTAGGGACGAGGTTCTGCAATATTCTGAGTCTCTCGTTTATCCTCTCTCTTCGTTTCTGCACGTTACATAGCACGAAATCACATCGACTTATTATACAATGGATCTATATATATGAGAGTATTATTGTGTGTATAGATACACACACTCGATATCATGTATATGAAATGATATATAGGAGGACGGATGAGATGAATTATACCCTCGCGTAAAGGCTTTGAGGATCGGTAGCACCGCCTCTTGCGGCTCTCGCCTTTCCATTTGCGTTCATAGCCGAGCCTTGTTTCATTTCTAGACCTACATTTTCTTCCTCCGAGCTGTAACTGCAAGAGCTTTGCCCGTCCGATCCAACCTGCTAAATTTGTAATGTTAGAACCATATATAATACCAAGAATCTGTTCATCAAAATGTGTGTCAAATCGTTACTATCGGTCCGACGGTGAACTTACATCTCTAGGGACTCGGACTCTTTTGTTAACGTTCTCGGGCATTTCTAACTTCCTCTTCATAGGCATTTCCATGGCTAGGGAAA